GAAAATGCCAAATTGGAATGTACAAGATTGCATTTTTTTATCCACATTATATAGTTACAGATCAACACTTTATTAAAACATGAAACTTTCTCACTATATTAAGGAGAGAGGGTTGTACAACCGACGCTACAACAGGCCTGAGGGAATGGTATCTATATCCTACTAGGTCCTACCGTGTCCCCAACCTAATCAAATGATTGCTGGACAGCTCCACCACGTCTACGCGATAACCGCACAAACGCGAGCGAAGATACCTTTGCCAAGAATTCCAGGGCAAACCCAAAACACCTCAAGACAACTCACGCACAAGTTTAGGGTCCTCATGTCGCTGGAAAGAAAATTGGGGGGTTGAGGGGAAAGCAGCGACCGTCCGATGCCTCAAAAGGCCAAAGCAGAGGGCGATTAAGGTGAGGGCGATCTCAGACTTTTCTCTCCCCCGCTTCCTCTGCTCCAACCCTGGAAGGAGCCACAAGTGAGGAAGAGAAGTTGTGGAAACAGGACGTGGAAGCAAGACGGGGGTGGGAACCCAAGAGAGTTTAACACAAGCATTTGCGTTTGTCCCACACAAGGTCACTCGCTCCAAGTCACTTTACCCTGCTCCCCCGGGGGGCTTCCCGCCAAGGAGGCTGCTGGGCTTCGAGGCCAGCCCACCGCGCCCCCTCGACCCTTCCCTGCGGACCGCAGCCCCTTCCCGGCCTCTGGGTGCCGGCCGGAGGTGGGACTCAAGCTGGCCTCCCCGACACCAGCTCCCAATGTCCGGCGCCTCTCCCACCCCAATTCCGGGGCTCCTCCGCCTCCACCCCGCTGGGCTCCCGTCAACGTCCCCTTCCTCACTCAGGACGCCCCTTTCCCCGCCTCCAACGCCAGGTCCCGTCGGGGGCCAGGGATGCCGTTCCCTTCCTCCCTCCCACCGCCTCTCTTCGGGTGCCCACCTGGCGCAGCCCCCGTCCCCGGCCAGTCTCCTCAGCGAGCGGCCGCCTCCCGAGTCCTCCCGGCCCCGCCCCGCTCCCGGGCGGATACAGTTTGAAGCCCCTCAGGATCTCCCTGGCACGTTCGTCCTTGGCTGACATGATGCAGCGGCAGCCGCCCGCGTCTCCCCGGCTAGCCCGGCGGAGCCTCGCAGACGGTGCCCCGGAGCCGAGGACCGAGCGGCAGCCCGGCCTGGAGACCTCGGGCGAGCAGCGGCAGCGGCCAGACCCGGACCGGCCTCTCCCTCCAGTCAGCTCCCGCTCCTGATCCCTTCTCCTTCCCCCTAGCGTAAGAGCTCCCGCCCCGAAGCCAATAGAAAGCCCGCTTCCGCGATTGGCATCCCGATAAACCAATAGAAATACTCAGCGGCTTCTTTTTTTCCCCGGGAAGTCCCGCAGGAGAAATTTTTTATTCGCTCTTGTTGCCTAGAGTTTGCCCCAGCGGAGGGTTGGCTTCAGATCTGCAGAGGCTCCAGGGGCCCGCTCCCGCCGCTAGGCTCACTAGAGATCTGAGACGACGGCTGGTTGCACTGTGCGATGTGGCCGAGACTACAATTCCCAGCATTCCAGGGCGCTCCGGGGAACCACAGATCCCAGCGCGCAACAGAGTCCAAGGGACTACAAAGCCCAGCATTCCTTGCATCCTATTCCTCTGTAACTTAGACTCCAGTGTGCCGTGCCGTGTGCGCAAATTCATACGCCCTCCCTCAGGTTTGGTGGTTTCTGGATCCCGAGAGTTGAAACCAGGCGGGAAGACCCTCTTCACTCTCAAAGAAGATGACAACCCACAGAGATGTAACTTCTGTTTACATGGAACTCAGAAATCTCCTGCAAATCATGGTAAGGCTGCAAACAAACAAAAACACTGATTAAACCATGAAAGATAATATAACAAAATGACGCCTTTAAGTCATGCTTGTTTTTTGGTCTAGGGAGCCTTTTACGTGGTTTGCTGGGGTTTCTGTTGTGCTTCTGCGTAGGGCTGAGAGCGAGAGCGATTGTATACCCGGAATACCAATACAGGAAGGGACTTTAGAGAATTTGCTAATCCAACCCCTGTTGTTTTACATATGAGGAAACTGAGGCCAACAGAGGCTAAGAGATTGTTCACGGGTCACAGCAAGTTGGGGCAGAATTAGAATTCGGCTCTAAGGCTCCTGACCCGCAGTCTGGGCTCTTTGCACGCTAAGCTGGTGGTATTTTTAGCAGCATGGCTATGTGATTATTATTCTCCTTGGTGATTATTCTCCTTGGTGGAATTTCCCCATCAGGTTGAAACACTTAGAGGTTAAGTAAGCATCTATTTGATGGATTTCCTGAAAGTGTGATGTTTATCTTCAGCCTCGGTAGGACTTGATGTTTTGATTCGTTCTCGTTGCTCAAGGTGACATTAAATGCGATTTCAGGAACTAGGTAAAATTGTAGTGTAAGCTAAGGTTTCCTTGGAGATCTTCTATTTCTTTTCCTAGGCCTTCCTCTTCCTGTCCCCCTTTCTCCCATCTGGGCATCCACCCAACTTTTCCTTCCATGTAATTCAACAAATAGTTTTTTCCGCTTTCCTTATTTGCCAGGCTCTCTGTCAGCAAAAGGTGAAAGACATGGTTACTGCCTTCAGGGAGATAACCATCTAGTTAGAGAAATAAGGAGACTCCACTGAGATTCAAAATGGACTATGATAAATGGCATGAAAGAAAGGAAATCAGAATGCTACAGAGGCTCTTATGGAGAGATTTATTTCGGCTGGCAAAACTTGATAGAGGAGATGGTATTTGAACTTGAAGGATGGGTAGGATTTTTTTTTCTATGTTAAAAAATTTTATCCTTAGATTTTTTTGTTAATGAGGTCTAACATACAGTAAAGGCATAGTTTTTGCATATGTGTACACCTGTGTCACCACCCCCCAAATCAAGATGCAGAGCATTTCCAGGACCCCCTGTGTCCCTTCCTAGTCAGTACTGCATCCTCTCATCCCATAACCACTCTTTTGACTTCTGTTACCACAGATCAGTTTTGAATCTGTTGTTGAATTTCATTTAAATGTAATCATACAGTATATACAGTATGAGTCTTGCTGTTTTCATTCATCAACAATTTTTGTGAGATTCATCTGTGTTGAATGTAGCAGTAGCTTGGCTTTTTTTAAATTGCTGAGTAGTGTTTCATTATACATATATAGCACTATTTACATGTTCTACTGTTGATGGGCATTTAGGTTATCAGATGTCAGTTTTTGGCTATATTTAACAAAGCTGCAATGAGCATTCTTATTTTTTTTTGTGGACTTGTGCACTCATTTCTAGGAGAGGAGTTGCTGGCTTGTATGGTGTACATATGATCAGCAATAGCAGATATTGTCAGGTTTCCAAGTGTACTGATTTTCACCTTCACTAGCAATGTAAGAGAGTTCTAGGTGACTCTCATACTTGTCAATATCAGATGTTGCCAGTCTTTTATTTTTAGCATTTTTGCTAAATGTGGCATTTCATTACGTGTTGTTTTCATTTACATCGTCTCTTGTGTTGAGTATCTTTCTATATGCTTATTGGCTATTTGAATGTCCTCTTTTGTGAAGTACTTGTTTGAGTCTTTTACTTTTTTTATTGGGCTGTTTGTCTTATTGATTTGTAGTTCTTTATATGGTCTGGATATGGAGTTCTTTGTCTGACATATGCTTGCAAATATCTTTTCCAAGATATGCGGCTTGTCTTTTCACTCTTTTTGATACACAGAAATTCTTAATTCTTAATTCTAGTGCAATAGTTCAGTGTTGTGGTTTTTTTTTTATGTGATTAATGCTTTTTGTATAGAATTTAAGAAATCTTTGTGGACAGGGTTGGTGGGATTTTTAACAGGAAAATATGAGGAAAGAGGTTTGCGAAAAAGTAGAACAAGCTTGAGGTGCTGCTGTGAGGGAGGGTGTAAGTTGTGTTAGGCTTGGGAAGGCCTGGAGTTCAGGCTCTAAAAAGGGAGAGGCCAGACGAAGCTGGGAGGGTAGGCGGAAGACAAAATGTGGAGAGTTTTAGCCACAGCCTTAGAGTCTGGATATTGTTCTGGAGGAACTAGCGGCACTGCTGGAATATTTATGAACTCAAACAGAACTTCATTGTCTTCCTTCCATCACCGAATTTGCCCCTCCTCTTCTGCAGTCTCATTCACTTAACATCACCTCCTGACAGCTCTGTCCTCCCCAGCCAGAATCTTAGGTAATATCCTCCTGCCCTTTCTCTGCTTTCAACTGGTACCAAGTCTGATAGCTTCTATGGTCTAAATGTCCCCAGCAACCTCCCTTCTTTTACATGCCCAGCTGCCACTACCTTTGTTAAAGATCTCGTAGCCTATTATCTGGAATATATCAAGTCACTTCAAGGGTTTCTCTGCTCCAGTTCTCTCCACATCCAATCCATTCCTATAGCAGCTAGTGTGATCATTCTAAAATGGCAATTATTCATACCTCTCCACAACTTGAAAACACTAAGTAGCTCCCTAGTGTCCTTAAGATAAAATAAAAACTCCTTTACATGTCTCATGCCCTTTGTAATTTGCTTGCTCATTCTTCTAGGCTCAACTCAACCCTCCTCTCCTCCAGAAGCCTGCCTTAAATCACCTCTCTTCAGGGCACAGTCAGAAGAGCCTTATCTGTACTCCTAGGTGCCTGTGGCAACTGTCTGTCATAGCCAAACAGGCCTGTCTCTCCAAGGGTTCTGTGAGCTCTCTTAGATAAGAACTTGGCTATATTTAGGTATTTACTGGGTATAGTGCCAGGCTTTTGGTTTTCCCAGAACCTGGATGACCTGACTCCAGCTCTGTATTTCTCACCCCTGAACCCTGGGTTCCAGCCATTCTAGGATTCTTTGCTGCATCAGTATGTGCTTCACAGTGCAAGCCTCTGTGACTATGGTCACTGCCTCCTTTTCTTCCCCCCCTTTTTTTTTTGCCTGGAAGATAGCTGTTTGTGTTCCCTCTGTTCTGTGCTTCCAAAGCGTTGTCTCTCATATCACTTAAGACATTGAAACTTTTCAAAGGCAAGAATCTTGTCTTATGTTCAAATAACTTTATAGAACATAATAGGTGCTAAAGAAAATTTTTGAATACATGAATGGGTTGTTGTTAGGCTCCTTTGCATCTGTCTGGTCTGATTTCTGCACTCTAATGCACAAAATCCAAATAGAAGTCTCCTCCTCTTTTAGACCTGAAAGTCTGGGGTGTATACTGTAAAGGAATCACCTTAAGTGTTAAGTTATATAGCATTCCTTGGCTGTCTTCCAGGGGAGTTAGTAAGTCCCAAGAGCAGCCACAAATGTCATTTTGGTCATAGAGGCATTGCTGACTCAACCTATCTCTTGCTTATTTTAAAACATTTTCATTTTCAGAAAAGAGGTCAAGAACATGGTCTTTGGCTTCAGATAGCCTGGGTTCTCAAGGGGACTTTGACCCTTTGGATTTTAGGCTTAGTTAATTCACCTGAAAAATGGGACTATTACAGGCCATAGAGTTATTATGGGAATTCAAAGAGATAATATACAGCACCTGGCACATGGAAAAATGCTCAATAAACAGTAGTTGTTATTAGGCTTAATATGTCTTCATACCCCGCGGTGGCCGCAGTCCGCATAGGGAGCTCCTGGGGGTAGAGATTGATCCAAGGGGTGGATTTTGGGTCCAGGATGGTGATGGCGATAGTTTGGGCCCCGGTACCACCTAGGCTGCATTCCCTTTCTCAGGCCTCTGCCCACCCTATTCCTGGGCTACAGTCTGGCTCAGACCCTTTTCCCCGCCCCGGCCCCCAACCGGAGGTCTGAGGCTGCGAACGCCTTGAGGGGAACCTAGTGTGGGCGGAACTCGAGTGCAGTGACGGGAGGCTTCCGGGGGAGAGGCAAGGGCGACGGGTCGGCGGAGGTAGAAAAGCGTCGGACGCCGAACCGATCATGGACGCTTGACAACCTGCAGGCAGGCGCCGGGAGGCCGAGACAGTGACCGAGAGGACGGGGAGGCGGCGAGAACAGGTAGGGGCCAGCGAGAAGGCAAGACCCGGCGCGCCAGTCTCGTCCGCGCTGTTGGGCTTCGCCCGGCTTCCGAGAAAACCCGCGGTCACACCGCCCCGCCCCCGCCCCGGGGAGTGCGCCCCGCAGCTCCTCACTCCGCACAGGCGGCCCTGCCTAGAGCACGCCGCGGTTCCGCACGCGCTGAAGTCCACCCCAGACTGAGACCCTCAGCTCCCGCACCGAGGCTGCTTTCGCTTCTCCACCCCCAAAGGGTGCCTCTTTGCCCCTTTACTGTCCATCAAAGTAGCGTCCCCCCACGACGGGATTTCATCTCCCCTGTGTCTCTGGCCTCCTACTCGGGCCCTCCCACTGTAGGAGAAAGCGGTTAGCAGCGCCTCCTTACCTCTTTGCCCCAATGGCCTTTGCTCCTTCGGCCGAGATTTTTTTTGAGGGTCCAAAGTTTCAGTTCATTTCTTGAATCTCTCTCCACGCGAGGCCCTTCCATTCAATCTCTTCACACGCGTCCATTTGGACGGGAGGTTTTGTACCTTCTCTCTGAACGATCACCTTCCTCCCCTCGCCTTGTCTCTCTTCTTTCCCTTTCCCTCTTTAGCAATCTTTATTCCCTAGCACTTCACTTCTTCTGTCTCCATCAAGACCTTCTTAGGTAACCCTAAGTATGGCGACATAACTTGTTTCTCTAATGCGGTGAAAGGGCTGCAGCAGCTCTGTGTACTTACCTCTACAGGAAAACTCGGTGACTTTTGCACCAAACTATCCTGTTTGATTTGTTCTCTGCTACAGCTAACTATACCTCTCTTCTTCATTTTGTCATATTGCTCCAATACGTAATATTCTTGGAGGAGTAACCTTTTCTTATGCGGGACTCCTGTACAGTAGGTATGCAGTGTGTGTTTTCACATTCGCTCAGCATGTGATTAGATTATACAGTTGAAGAACTCTTCTGTCCCTAATGTCTTCAGGACAGCAATAAATATCTTCATTGTTTTCTCATATCTTTTATTGTTTCCTTGAGGTTTCATACAAATTCTGAAGTCTTGTTTGGTAAAATGTTACATATCAGTGGGAGGCCAAATAGAGAGATTTTCTTTATGGACTTAGACAGCATGTATTTTCTTAGTTTGAATATGTTCCTGGTTATTTTTCAAGATGATTTTCCCCCTTCTTCTATGCTTAAATGAGTTATTTGATTAAATGAGACATCTTTCTTGCCTGTTTTTTGTCTTTTCCTTATCTGTACCTGGCTGCAGGTGCGAGTCTAATGATTCACGGGAAACTAACTGGTTGTTTTTGGTTACATCTGCTGCCTCTGTATGGACAAGATTTTCTTAACTAGTGCGGATAAATGAGGTGGATCTAAAACAGCTACTGAGAACTCCTGTGTGTTTCTTTAAGTCCTGGTTTGGTTTAAGGGCTTAGAATGTGCTGTCTTTGGGAGAGGGCCAAATGGGGATGAAGTGGCTTTTACTGAGCAGGTTTCAAACCTCAGAATAAAGACAAAATCTTTTTAACTCCAGGTTGAACCCTACCCATCTCACAACATGGTCATAGCATCTGGACTCAGGAACTGTTTTTATTTTTTTTTAATACTATAAAATTATTCTGATGTCTGATCCAGCATTAAATAAGCACAGACTTTGCAAAAGAGAGTCATAGAAACACTTTTCTTTTGGACAGATCTCAAGGCCAGAGAATGGCAGGTGAACAGAAGCCTTCAAGTAACCTCCTGGAACAGTTTATTTTGCTAGCCAAGGGTACTAGTGGCTCAGCTCTCACCGCTCTTATCAGCCAAGTCTTGGAGGCTCCTGGAGTGTATGTCTTTGGAGAACTGCTGGAGTTGGCCAATGTGCAGGAGGTAAGAGCATTTTCTCAATAATTTCTCTGTCTTCTTTGTTCTAAGCCTTCCTTTGACTCTCTGGGTTTTTAACGCATTTCAGTGACAAAGTATCATGGACCTGTGAGGTGCCCTGTTGAGGGAGAGATGGGAATTGGCAGGACAAGGGAGGAGAGCAAAGATCATGTCCTGGACTCCTTCTAGTCGATATTTTCATCTGAACTTAGGGTAAAGTTAGATAAGGTGACTAACAATTTGAAAATAGGGAAAAATCCAATTGATTCTGTTAAGTTAGAGAAGTAGAGTATCAGCATGTACGGATGTTTAACATGGCTTTTGTTGTGCCTTAAAAATGAGATGATCTAGTGAAGAATGACCAGGTGGAACAAAGGGATATAAAGCTACCAAACTTTTCAATCTCTACTTCTCACTTTGGATACTTTAATACAGTCTTCCCTTGGTATCTACGGGAGAAAAATAGTGTAGTATTTTCATGTAACCTATATTTGCCTATAGGCTAAGGCAGGGTATGCCTATATATCACTTCATTTGTGTGCATTCAGCATAGCACTTGATGTGTGGCTAGTTCAAGTTTTGCTTATTGTAACTTTCAGGTATATTTTTCCCAAATGTTTTTGATTTATTGTTGAATCTGCAGATGCAAAACCTGCGGATATGGAGGGCCAACTGTATTCATTTATTGCTTGATACTTTTATATTTATTGATTGATGGATAGAAAAGTCTGGTGACATCTTTATTACTTTGGGGGCTTGTGTTCAGGAGCCATTTGTGGGGTGGGTTGGCTTCCTCTCAAAGCTTCTTTCTGGCTGCCCAGGATGGTGCTGACTCTGCAGAAGGCTACTATTCACAGATCTTGGTGGTGCTTGTTCTCGTAGATCATGTGAACAATGCTGCTGAGGGTGGCCCAGGCGTTCTCGTTGATGGTGGTCCACAAGTAGGGGTTAGTGGGCTTTTGTTGGCTGGTTCTTCACTTCATGACCACTAGGACACCTTTGCTGTAGCTGCTTTGTGGCGAATCAACCTGTCGTAGCAGAAGGCATTGCAGGCCTTCAGATTATTATTGGACTAGCCGCTGTACACCTGCTTACTCCTCTCAATCAGGAAACTGGAGTTCTCCATGACCATTTATTGCAGATGCATGGACATGGTATCACCTCTCCCTGCAGCAACTAGGACAGGAAGAACCACTTTTCTTTTTTTCTTTTTATTTTTTTTCGGGTGGGTATATATCAGTTTTTATTATATTATTTTCATGTGGCTCAAAAATTGCATAAGAAAACTTTAAAAAATTGTACAGATAATTAAAGGAACATTGAGATAAATTTTAGTACATACCGAGGTTTGGGGCTATTTTGTATAATCACTCACTCTGTTGTCTGGCACAGAAGAGGTGGTCAGAGTTTGATAAAATAAAAATTAAAAACAAAACAAAAAAATAATCACTCTGAAGCCCCTCTTACTGATCCAGGCACTGTTTCCACCCCAGCTTCTTGCCCAGTCATCCTGCTCTTTTACACATACAGTCTTATACTTTTCCAGCAAGTATTTATTATTAGTTAAGCTATGATTCAGGATCCCAGGTGGGATGTACTCAGGTCCCCCCTCACCACTCTGGGAGAAGAATAGAGGACAGAGAAGAGGCGGTGGGGAGCCAATTCAGATCTTCCCAGGAAACATGCCTTCTGCCTGGCAGTTGTCCCGCACCGACACCCAGGATATGAGGCAGAGAGACTTATAACACACTGGTACCATTCGCACACGGAGACATCACCCCCTTTGATGGTCATTGCCTTCTCACAGCAGTGGAAGTCCAGGTGGTTCTGCCAACAGTTCCTGGTCTCATTCTGGTTGGGGAAGTGGCTGTCAAAAGGGGCAATCTGGTAATTCTTGATTTTGGCCTTGATGTCTTCTGTCATGTTGCTGACTCCTAAAGCCACCCCTGAAACAGCTCACAGCTTAGTGTGACCCTCAGCAAAGACTTGCTTGTATTTTTCAATTGTGAATTTTTATTTAATGTCAGTTTTGCTTGCTAGACTGTGTGCTCTGTTGTGCTCACCATTGTTTCCTTAGAACTTAATATGTAGCCTGATACACAGTGGGCTTTCAGTAAAAATTTCACTTACCAGAGCTAGAAGAGGAATCCTATGAGAAAATTTAAGAGAACTGGGTTCTTTTTTTCTTTTTTCTTTTCAATAGACTTTATTTTTTAGAACAGTTTTAGATTCATAGAAAAATTGAGAGAAAAGAACAGAGATTTACCATATACCCTCTCCCCTCACACGTACAGCCTCCCTCATTATCAGCATCCCCCACCAGAGTGGAACCTGCATTGACACAGCATTATCACCCAGAGTCCATGGTTTACATTAAGGTTCACTCTAGGGTTTTTACACGATATGGGTTTGGACAAATGTATAATGACCCGTCTCCACCATGACAGTATCATATAGCAGTTTCACTGCCCTGAAAATCCTGTGTTCTGCCTGTTCATCCCTCCCTCCTCTCTAATCCCTGGCAACCACTGATCTTTTTACTATCTTCGTAGTTTTGATGTTTTCATTATGTCATATAGTTGGACTCCTATAGTATGTAGCTTTTTCAGATTGGCTTCTTTCATTTAGTAATATACATTTGAATTTCCTCCATGTGTTTTCATGGCTTGATAGGTAATCATTTTTCAACGGAAGAGATGACCAAGGGGTAATACGTTCCTTCAGGTTCATGAAAAGCCTGAATGAATATGCCAACTAGTTGTTTTGTAACTATGAAAGATTGGCTAAGAGGAGATGGATGAAAATTAAAGTTGGAAAGACTTTATTGATTTGGGCCAGTGGGAAAAGTTTTGGAGAAACTGGTCTACAGAAGACAGTCTGTTACAGCTAGTTTTGTAATCCTCTGTCTAAAAAGTGGAGGCTAGACCTTATGGTTTCATCCACCTCTGATTCAGGACCTCAGGAGGTTCTTGATAAACCTGAGAATGTAGACTCAGGTATTATGATGCCAGAGTTCTCATAGGAGTGCTTTTAGCAAATCACATTTATCTCCCTACAGTTTGTTTTTCTCACATGTAAACTGGAATAAGCCAGTTGCCTTTCAGAGATCTGAAGTTATGGATGTAGTTCTTGGAACCTTTTTTGAAAAGATGGTTAAACTTGAGTAGTATTACCATTGGTGTCCACAGAATAACTTGGGTGTTCCATTTAGAATTTACTGAGTTTGGTATATTGGAAGAATAATGGGTACGTATTTGTGAGTAAAAGAAACACGCAGTTAAGGTAACTGAAGCAGAGCAGTTCCCGGCAGGATAGCATCTCTTAAATTTTTCATCTACACATGGCTCTTTGCCACCAGCATCAGTGAGGAGTAAGTCATTTTAAGGAAAACTTGGTTTGCCGTCCCAATCCGGCTTTTCTGTCGCATCTTGTGCTGTGATAATCCCTCCCAGTGTTCATAGTCCACATATAGTCCTGAAACTTGGAACCAACCCTGCACTTTGTTCAGTTAGGATCAATGGTGGCTCGGGCTGTACCTGCCAAGCTGGTGTGTAGACAAGGCTGCTCCAGTGTTTGTTTTAATGGCAAGGGAGTCCTGAGAAAACTTGAACTGCTTCCAGTACTTACTGCTTTATGTGCGTGTGTGTGTGTGAGGCAAAGCATTTATTGGGCGTGCTGTGTGGAGCGTAATTTCATGTATTCCTGAGAGATGAAAGTTAAGTTGGGAGCTTTAATAGTCTTATTTATTTTCCTCCCAAGAATGAAAGAGTTTGAAGGGCTCAACTAATGAAACAGTATAGAACTATGGCACTGGGTCACCTGCCCTCTGCTTGAACACTGGAGTGATAGGTAGACAGCTTGATCTGTGACTGTTTCTTTTCCTCCTCAGCTTGCAGAAGGAGCTAATGCTCCTTATTTGCAGTTGCTGAACCTGTTTGCCTATGGAACATACCCAGATTACATAGGTGAGTTGGTTAAGATCCACCAAAGACTTTTTAAAATTATGTCCCTCTGTTTAGGTGCATTGCCTCCATGACGGCCACTGAAGTTTGGGATATAAAGCATGGGGTGGGGACTTCTTGACCTGGCTGTTCTCACATGAGGACTTTCCCTTATCAGCTTGTATTTTCCAGTGGGTAAAATGGGGACTGTGTTTATGCTCATCCATAAATATAGCCCTTGTTTATTTTGCAATGAGATTCTTGAGGACTGATGTTTGTAGAACACGTGGAATTTTGTGAAATGCTAGAATACCCACTTGTAAAATATTTATGCATTTTAAATATTGTCAAAATAATATCATTATACTTTATTGAAGAAAATTTGGAAATAGGGTGGAAAAGTCACTCACAGTTATTACAGCACTAAACTACTGTTAGTATTATGGTTCTGGATTTTTCCCCCTCTGCTTGGTTTTTCTATTATGGGGACAGATTTAGATTATGTATACAATTTTATATCTTGCTTTTTTCACTTATTTCATAGGTATTTATCCATCTTTTAAGTCTGCGTAGTCACTTTTAACATTCCATAATCTAATACTCCATGGTCTACTGAGCCTGTTCTCTTTTGTAGGTCATTTGAGTCATTTTAACTTAGAGCCATCAATGTCGTTAATGAGGTGCATGCGTGTCCTAATGCTAACTTGCCTTCCATCCTAGCCAGTTTTGTCTGCCTCCCCTGGTTTATTTTAGTGACATGACAAAAGCCTGGTCGTTTTAGTGTGACTGAGCGCCTTCCCTCCTGTATCCCCGACGCCTCCTCTTTCTCACTGTCATTTTTGCTGGTCGTTTCTGCTTACTCTCAGCTGCTGTCTGACTGGACATCTTGCCACTTGCCAGTTTTTTCTAACCTTTGCTTTGTTCCAATGCGTGTGTCCTCCGTTTTCGTTCTCACTAAAGAGACAGCATCGCGCAGACTCGGGAACCAGACTGCCTATGTTACATTCTCGCTCCACTTCCACTGGTTGTGCCCTTTGGCAAATTAAATAACCATCTGTACCTCATTTTTCTTTATCTCTAATAATACAGGTCCACAGCCTTCTACCTACACTTTTTGGGCTAGATGTTTCAGAATTTAGAATTTTGAGGGACTTTAGAAAGGCAAAATGAAGCATATGCCTTTTTATGTAACACCCTTGAGGGCAGCACCTGTAGTCAAACACGTTCATAATTTTGCAGCAAAACAAATGAATAATCACAACAAGTGGAATAAAAAGCCTGCCTCAGTTCAGGTCTGGAATTGCCACATGCTCGTGGAAAAAAAACCAGTTTGGATTCACCTGTTTGGAATCCAGGATTGTGGATAAGGAGTTGAAGGCCTTTGGACTCTGTCTCCCGAGGTGGTTGTGAGGACTAACTAGATTGTGTTTGTGCGTCTGTATCCGTGTCTACTAAGTAAAGCTGGCTGTATGTGTTACCTGTGGCTGCTGCCGTGGCTGCTGTTGTCATCATTGCTATGACGAAAAGTTCGCCCATCCTGCAAGGCTCATCTCAGACGCCACAGTTCTTTTTTTCTCCCCGATGCGATTGGGTTCTCTTGCTCTCTGTCTCTCTTT